ATCGAATCATCATGCCAAAGTTCAAAATCCCTTGAGAAATGTCTTCAGAATTTTGTTTTGAAAATGTCCATCAAGAATTCACCTGACTGGTCAATTGTCAACCAATCATATTTTTATGTCATTTAATAAAAAGTATTATTCTCTTTTGAATGCTGAAAACCACAGGTCTCTAGCTGCTTTCATTCTCGAGTTATTCAAGTTACAACCGAGTCCATTGTATTTTTGAATGGACATTAGGCTGGTATATAGAAATGGATACAGCAAGTTTATCGTGTTTTTGGGAATGTATTGACATGCTTTGAAATATTTTACTCTGATTGCACATTCTTACAGTCAAAGAATCCGTGAGATTGCATGAAAATCAAAATATGTTTAAGATTCTGATCGCCTCTCGATCAGCGGAAGATGGTGACAAATTTTACCACTAGTGTGTATTAGAGAAGAGTCAAATGAATCAGTATGATGAAAATTACTTGTTTTTATTGTAGAGAAGTATTGGAGCAATCCTCAATATCTTATTCAATTAGAATATATCGATGGTAATGTTGAAGAGAAATGGTGTACAATGATTATTGCATTAATGTTTAAAGACGAAAGACAACGAATGTTAAGTGGTGAAGAACCTGTACTCATAGCGTTCGATGTTTGTAAGGTAAATGCATACTTATTTTCACATAATCCTATTTATACTTAGGGCAGTCCAAAAGTAGTGGCGACCGCATCTTAGTTTTGTATAGAAGGCTTGAGAAAACTTTCTCTCTCTATATAGTCTGATAGAGAAAAGAATGCTCTATTTTTCTATGCTATTTGATAATACTTAAACTAATATCATAATAGTAAAATTTCCACAAGAACTGTTTTTTGTTGAAAATTAGCTGGTAGCATTAAATCATAATGGATGTGACACTTTTGTATTTCATTTTATCATCACTTAATATGTTGTATTAAAAAAAAAATATACCACAAGATGCAGCGTGAAAAGCTCTACAATCTACAAAGAACAATTATAAAAAGATCTGATAAAAAAAAACCTGAATTTGTCTTTTACCAAAAAACAATCTCGTTTTCGCAACGTCGAAATTTGGTCACCCAGAATTTTGTCCATTTTGAAAGCAAAATGTGCAACTATAAAAATAAGCGATCCTTTATAAATTGTAGAGCTTTTCACACTACATCTTGTGGTATATTTTGTTTTTTTTTTAATACAACATATTAAGTGATGATAAAATGAAATATAAAAGTGTTCCATTTTTTATGCCATACCCATTATGGTCTAAATGCTACCAGCTAGTTTTCAACAAAATACTCAGGAATCATGCATATTTTCTATGAACCGTGCAGAAAAGATATATATGTATATGAGCAATGCTAATAAAAAGCTTCAGTAGAAAATATTCGACAATTTATGAGAAAAGTGAATTTTACCATGCAAAAAAGTGAGAAGGTCAACCTTACCTATTATCAATAAAAACTATATCTTTATAGATTACTGACATATGCCATAATTGTACTATTGGAACCGCTTACCAAAAGATTTTCATTTTTCTACAGCTGAACTACGTCCAAGGGGGAAAATTGGAATCCTGGAATCTCGAATTCCTCTGGATTCCAAAGATTCCGTAGGATTCCGTAAGATTCCAGAGGATTCCGTAAGATTCCGGAGGATTCTGTAGGATTCTATAAGATTCCGTAGGATTCCATGAGATTCTCTTGGATTCCTTGAAACTCCTCTAGATTTTCAACAAGCTTCTAAAGCTGTCAAAGCACTTCCTCTGTGTCACCCTTAAGTTTGGTCGTACGAACTGAGCCAAACTGGAGCCCATTACTTCATACTATATCCATTTTACATATATAGCACAATTAGTTATCAATAAGTATCGTTAATTGTCGCTAATGTTTTAAAGAAACTCCAGATTGTTCCCAAAACGGAACAATAGTACTGTGATATCGGAAGTACCATTCTCAAAACAGAACAGCGCACCTTAATTAGCCATAATTAGGTGAGTACTTGACTAATTAGTACTAGTTAAGATAAGTATTCATCTTAATTGACGCTAATTAGTCAAGTATTTACCTTAATTAGTGCTAATTATATGAGTACTTGCGTAATTAGTCATAGTTAGCTGAGTAATAATTAACAATCAACTAATTAGTACTCACCTAATTATGACTAACTAAGGTAAGTACTCATCTAATTAGCGTAAATTAAGTTGAATAATTGTCTTGATTAGTACTAATTAGTCAAATACTCACCTGATCATGGCTAACTAATGTGCGCTGTTCTGTTTTGGGAATGGCACTTCCGATATCAGAGTATTGTTCTGTTTTGGGAACAAAAATTTTTCTGATAGCTCAGTTCCGATAGCTGTATTTAACAGTTCGTCAAGTTAGAACTATTGGCCGACTGTTGTACTCCTAATTACGATGTTCTGACAATATGTTTATAATGAAGACAGAAAATGTTTGGATCACGATAGAGGTACGGGTTCGCATTTTGATCGATTCACTTTCTCTATATGAAGTGAACCACATTTCTTTGACTAGAATGTTTGACTCACCTATTATGACCCTCAGGTTTCCATGTTGATATCTTTTTTCGTTTTGACATTTATGAATTATATTCTATGTTCTTGTATGTTTACTGATCTTAACCTAAGGTATATATCGCAAGGGATCAATTTGCAACTTCAAGGTTTAAACAAAAGAGGTCCTGAATGAGAAAATTACGATGAATGTTCTTAGTCTGTTCTATTAATTGCTGATGCATTTAAACAGATTTTCCTCCAATAGTACTATTCCTAGGGACTTTTGGACTGAAGATTCCAAGGTTCTGTAGGATTCCATCGGATTCTATTGGACTTCATTGGATTCTATTCGATTCTATCGAATTCCATCGGATTCCATTAGACTCTAGTGAATTCCATTGGATTCTATCGGATTCCATCGGATTCCATCGGATTCCATGATTCCATGGGATTCCGTGTGATTCCACAAGATTCCAGGATTCCAGGATTCCGTTTGTTCCCCCTTGACTACGTCTCAGGAAAAGTGAAAAACTCATGGTTGTAGCGAGAAATCCAGAGTTTTTTTAAAATATGGATCAATTGAAGGTTCTTGAATCTTGCAACAAAACTAAACATTCCAATGATGATCAGCACATTTGATAGTTTATGTATCAATTGTGTTCAAGATTCTCAGAGGTGACCGATGTTTTCTATAGAAGATGTATTACAGTAAACCTTTTTGGAAACTCTGACTTTTTAAAAGGATTGTAGCCCCAGCTGTCTATTTTTAAAAACGGGCGACCGCAGATTTTTAGCTGTTTCTTATACAAAATATTCAAAAAGCAATGAAGTCTCTTCTATTTTATAATGCATATTCATATCATCGCAATGATTCCTCAGAAAATATCATTCGACTTAGTTTTTGATGTAGATCATACTGAATTTATATTGATACAAAATGATATTTAGTGGTGAAAAAGGAAAAAAAACCTGATGAAAACTGTGGGTTCTTTCTCAAGAGGAATTGGTGATACATGATTATTTTTATCCCGATTCAAGTTTTTATGTAAACACAGTATAAAAACAGCAGAAGTAAAAACGAATTGTTTGAATTAATGGGCAAGAATTGGAAAATACATAAGATAATTTTAACAGCAGCTAGAAAATTCATTGTTCTTTTTTTATAAGTAAAGAAAAAGATGCATTATAAAATAGAAGAGACTTCATTGTTTTTTCGGATGCAATATTCAAATATTCATAAATGTTTAGGTCAAGAATGATGCTGATATTCGTACGCATATTGAAGAACATCAAAAATTTTATATGACACATTTAGATTATGTTGGTAGCAGTGGAAAGTATACGCCATACCGTTCTGTTAGTCAACGATTTAAAGTTCGTCCTGGAACTTATATTATAATACCAAATACATTCGAATGTGACACAGGTGGAGAATATTTCTTACGTATATTCACTGAAAAAGAAGTGGTTCAAACAGTAACAGTGTATGTTAATATCATGATGATTCTTTTCTGGTGTATAATTATTATTGTTTTTCTTTTATTTTAGAGAATTGACGATTAATAAAAAAAATCTGGTAAGTAATTTTCAGAGTAAATAGTCACGACCTCCTGTCTAACTAAGGTAACGAAAACGTTAGATGAACAGTACGATTTTGAAGTTCTTATAAAATATTAAACTTATTAATAAATTAGACATGTTCTCAAAATTTACATCTTCAAAGTTTATTGAATTGTTTTGATTTCAAATTTTTTTTTTCTAAAACCTAAAAGATATGTATTACTGAAAAAAATCAACATCGGTATTTGAAAAATCTGAACTAGTCCATAGTGACTGTAGTTTCCTTGTTTAATTTCAACGTTTAAACTGTATTTCTGAGTCTTATATAATCAATGCTGAACTACTCATTGTAGAAACTTTGAATAAAATTCTAAATCGAATTGCTTAGATATTCATCCGATCTACGACATCCGATGTACAAAATCGTCCTTTTTTGTCTTCATCACTCTACGTTCGAAGTTATGCTGTTTTTACCAGTAATTTCTAGAATAGTTTAAATAATTTTTGTATTTGAAAACGCATTCGAAAGTTTTCACATTCTTCTTCGTACATAGATCGAGATGTTCCAGATGAATAATTTTTTATTCACTTTGTTTAGTACTTAATTGTCGTTCTTAGGAATCGGCTATCCAATATAGATATTGTTTTTCAACCTTTTTTTTTCTCTCTACAACATTTTGTTCTTTTATTTTAGACTGAATCGGAAATAAAACATCCGCATATAAATGTCAATAGTGAAGTCGATAGTAAACCAGCTTCTACTCCAGAATCATCCGACGGAGAAACCAATAAAGCTACAGAAGATATAGGTGGTGCTTTTCCAGGTTCAAATCCAACAAAACCAACTATTAATATTGATGTTGATAAAATAGAAGGACATTGTACAATTCAATAAATAAAAAGAAAAAAAAACAAAAACAATCAAATAGGATTATTTTGAAAATGAACTACCGATGTATTTTTCTTACAATTATCTACTTTCATTTTATAATCTTAAATGTTACTATTACTAAAAAACAATTTTTAGATTTTTGCTTACCGTTACTAACTGTGTATTAACATAATGGATTAAGTGTTTAGTTTTCTAATACAATTTCTTACATTCCTTTCACTAATATAATTTATTTTTATCTATTTTTATTTTTCTTTGCGATAAACTTCATCACAGAGCATATTAGTGTTTGGCATTAATCCTTTATCCCCGAACGTCCACTAAAATGGACATTGATATAATTGTGATTGAACAAAATCGGAGCATTTGATCCAAAACTAAGTCTGTATTGTTTGTAAGGTTCTTCATAAGCTTTCGGATTGGTAAAAAAGAATATCCTGTTTAATCACTTCACTACTGAAATAGGAACCTCATAAAGTCGATAAAACCCTAAAAAGTGAGTTTTTTAAAAACAGATTTTTCTCTACCTATTGCCCATCGAGATTATGAGGATGTGTTGTATACTTTATATTGACGGAGACATCTACTTGTTAATTGACTGCGTTTCAAAAGTTTCACAATAGTCTGGTATATAAGAAACGGTAAAGCACAAGATGGACTCTGAAACTATTATTGATAAGACAAAGGAGAATAACAAGCATCATGAATAGATATTTTTTTTAAGCTTTATCATATGAGAAGGTGAAATAATTTTTATCATGGATTAAACATCTTCAATGGTTATTTTACTACTTCATGAAAAAAAGATGTTTCTTTCAAAATGTGTATCAAAAATGTGTATGCTGTTTTAAAATAGTTTTCATGTATTATAAGGTAGATTTGAACATCCAATCCAACATTATTCGAAACCTGATGGGCATCCTGATGGTAGACTAGAACAGTGAGATAGACTGACGTCATTTTATACAGTCTAAATCAGAGATTGACTCCCATCTATCTACTAGACAATCACAAACCAGTCTATGTCAAACAAATTTGACTAGTCTGAAACGTCTTTAATAGTAGTTAAGACTAGTCCGAAGCATCGTCTGCATGCGTCATGACTAGCCGTTTTTTAAAGAATGTGTTGCCCATCCTAGTCCAGACTAGCCTGAAAAACTCCAAACAACCAATTTTCTTTGGACTAAATTGTCCTACTAATTCAGTTAAATTGATCAATAATGAAAAGTATAAGAAGTAGAATGTAAGTAGAAATATTTGCCAATATCTGTATCATTTGTTCAAATTAATCTATGATGGATAATCAGATACATTTAGCACATGGACTACTCGATAGTAAAATAACAATCATTTTATTGTCTGTCTTGTACTGAAATCGTCGTAGATTGATGATGATTAAGCATAATCTGTTATATTATGATTATGGAAATTAATGACATATGCATTTATTTTATATTAAAATTATGTCGATTGTTACCAGTGGTATTAATTTTTTTTCCAGCTAGAACGACAACAGTCAGAGAGTCTACCATAATCAATAGTGAGGTCAAAGATAGGCAATATACTTTATCCATCCTTGTCTTGATATATCTTCTTATATTTCGTATTTTCATGTGTTGAAAATCTATGAGTATATCGAAAGATAAAAGAGTAGTAATAAATATCATCACAAAGAAAAATATTTATCTTGTAGCTAGGAGTGCTAATTTATATATTTTAAAATTATTAGATATACTAAATTTTAAAGAAAACTTAAAAGTACCTAAAATCTTTTTATGTAATAATTTTACGTTATTTTATTTTAAATATAAATTCTCGTTAATTTTAAATTTAAGAATAAATTTAAATTAAGCAAAGTTAAATTTTAATTGCTAGTTGAAGATACGGTGATTTAAATTTAAAACTAAACTAAACCATGATATGAAAAAATTTAGTTTCTTTTCAATATAAATAGTTTTTTATTTTTGTATTTAAAATTTATTTTTTTTTAATGTAAACTGATTATTCATAGTTGATAATAATCAAAAGATATTACTTCGAAAAATGTAAAATATTTTAAATTTATGGTGTTTAATGTTGTG